TCTCTCTCTCTCTCTCTCTCTCATCCTTGCTCATTTTTGTTTAAATGATAGTTCTAAACAAATTTGTATCAGTAAGCTACAGGTAGGAGTTCTTAAAGTGGGGACAGTAAGTTAGGCATGTACCTAACATGGCTCCACTGAAGAAAATAGCACTGAAAGGCATCTTCCAACTATGGTTCTGAATTCAAAATATAAAAGCTTTATAATTTGTTTCTGCAATTAAGAGCGTCCCCCAGTGGTGCAGTATCCAGCACTGTAGTATAGTAGAAGTAGGCAGAATAAAGACTCAACACTTTTGAGTACTGTACCTTTGCCATCAATTGTTCTATAGGGAAATGATCAGCATTAAACAATACCTTTCTGTCTCCATTTATAACCCTGCTTGCAATTTAACAATAGCAAAGGGTATACTATAAAGGAAGCCATAAAAACTCAAAACAATTACATTTAAAAATTAATACCAATTCTTTATAAACTATTCCAAAAACTATAAGATAAGGGAACATTTTTCAACTTGTTCTACAAGGTCACTATTACTGATATCAAAACCAGATAAAGATATCAGAAGAAAAGAAAACTACAGACCAACATCTTTTCTAAATATAAATGCAAAAAAAACCCACCAAAACTATCTGACAAAATGCAAGCAAACTGACACCAGCAACAAATGAAAAGGATTATACATCATGACCAAGAGAGATTTATCACAGAAATGCAAGGTTGGATTAACATCCAAAAATCAATGAATGTAATTTATCACATAATATAAAAGGACAAAAACCACATGATCACCCCAACAGATGCTGAAAAAGCATTTGACAAAATCTAACACTCCTTCATGATTAAAAAAAAAAAACAACTATAGTAGCAAGAGAGTGTGGTACTGGTATAAGGATAGGTAGATCAATAGAATAGAATTTAAAGTCCAAAAATAAACCTTTAAAAGAATGGCCAATTCATTTTCAACAAAGGTGCCAAGACAATTCAGTGGATATAGAAAAATATTTTCAGAGAAACAGTGCTGGGACCAACCAAATAACCACATGTAAGAGAATAAAGTTGTATTCACGTATCACAACATATACAAAAATTAACTAAAAAATTAATCACAGACCTAAATGTAGGAGCTAAAACTATAAAACTTCATGACCTTGGGTAAGTGATTGTTTCTTAGATACAATACCCAAATCACAAGCAACAAAAGAAAAAAATAGATAAATTGAATTATCATAATTGTAAACTTCTGGATTTCAAAAGACACCAGCAAAAAGAGAAAAGACAACATAAAGAATGGGAGAAAAACTTCGCAAATAATATACCTGATAAGGTACTTGTATCTAAAATATCTAAAGACCTCTTAAGATCTCAAAAATAAAATGGCTATCCAATTAAAAAATGGGTAGAATATGAATAGACATTCTTCAAGTAAAATATACAAACAGATTATAAGCATGTAACAAGATGCTTAATATCATCAGACAGCAGGAAAATGCAAATTAGAACCACTATGAAAAAAAACCACTATGAAATGTCACTTCATACCCACTAGGATGGCTATGATCAAAAAGATAAAAACAAGTACTGGCAAGGATGTAGAAAAATTTGAATGTTTGTACATTGCTGATGGGAATGTAGAATGGTATAGCCACTTTGAAAAACAATTTGACAGTCCCTTAAAAAGTGAAACATGTACTACTAGGTCTATATTCAAGAGAATTTATAATATATGTTCACACAAAGACTTGCACACAAACGTTCATAGCAGCATTATTAATAATAGTCAAAGGTAAAAAACAACCTTATGTCCATTAGCTCATGAACGGACAAACAAATTGTATGTCCATACAATGGAATCTTATTCAGTAATAAAAAATTATGTTTTTATACATGATACAACATGGATGAAACTTGAAAACATTATCTTAAGTGAAAGAAGTAAAAAAAGACCACATACTGTAAAATTCTACTTATATGAAGTGTCTAGAATAGGTAAATTGGTAGAGGTAAAAAGTAAAATTTAGGTTGCCTAGAACTGGTCAGGAGAGAGGAAAATGGGCAGTGAACGCTAGTAGGTATGGGGTTTCCTTTTGGGATGATGACAATATTCTAAAATTGGATAGTGATGGATGGTTGTATAACTTTGTGAATATAGCTTAACTGATTCCAGCTTGCTGGCTATGGATCGTGTGACTTCACAGCCTCCATAATCATGTAAGCCAATTCCTCATAATAAAACTATGTGTGTGTGTGTGTGTGTGTGTGTGTGTGTGTGTGTGTGTGTATCCTATTGCTATTGGTTCTCTTTTTCTTAAAGAAGACTGACTAAAACAGCCACGATGAGTCAAATTTCTTTTTATTTGTATCCAAATATATTCCCAACATTTGCAAGACCAAAATAAATGGTGCACTGCATATTTAAAAATTATAAATATTGGGGCACCTGGGTGGCTCTGTCGGTTAAGCGTCCGACTTCAGCTCAGGTCACGATCTCATGGTCCATGAGTTCGAGCCCCGCGTCAGGCTCTGGGCTGATGGCTCAGAGCCTGGAGCCTGCTTCTGATTCTGTGTCTCCCTCTCTCTCTGCCCCTCCCCAGTTCATGCTCTGTCTCTCTCTGTCCCCAAAATAAATAAACGTTAAAAAAAATTAAAAATTATAAATATTAATATTAAACCGTTCTTTTAAAAAATATACAGCTTCAAATCAAATA